ACGACTCGGACCGACACTCAAAGGAATTCGGAAAACTCCTACAAATCCAAGAAGCGGTCCCGCTTAATTGGGTTATGGTGCTAAAGCAAGGCCCCAACATCAAAGAGAAGGATTGGGTGAAAATAAATGACCTCAACCCCATTCACATGGCCATCTACAGAGTGCATAAAATGGCGGGCAACTGGGCCCATCTCCAAGGGTACGAACCGGACGCCCCAGGACCTCGATGGACCCATCTAGAAAGGAGCCAGGAACTGGATCACCAACAACTGAAGACTCCCTGACGAGAATCAGGGTGGTGGGGAATGAAGACAAAGTGTTTTTTGGGTATGAAATGTCCTCTCCTATCTGCGCGCTCCCTTTTGACCTAGACGAATAGGAGTGGCCAGGCCACAAACCCACTCCAATCTGGCATTACACAGTCAAAGGATGCTAAAACAAGCCCACCAACCTCAATCATCGTCCCCGGTGGTCCAGAATCGGTGGAAACGGGACTCCCCGGTACCAGCAGAAGACCTCTCGGAGATCCCATGATCCACTTATGCGCAAATAATGCCAACCTCACATCGGGTCCTCCAGTGGCAAACCGTGCACCGGTGCCTTCCGACCCCGGACTGGATAACCCCCAGGTCCAGTCTTGAGCAAGCGGGAATCCTGTCCCCAATCTGATCCTACTGTGGTCACTCGACGCCTCGTCGAAAAGCCGACCTTGAGCACTGTCTGCTAGCATGTCCGATGGTCATCCAGGTATGGAGATGGTGGGACACGCTTTGGATCAAGCTCACAAACTCTCCCTTCCACTGGGACATGGGGTCCATCTTACTTGGCAACTACAAAAAAAACCGCGGTCTTGGTCATGCTTCCAACACAACCTTTTTAAGCACACCTGCCTGGCCATCCTCATGGCAATATGGAGAATTAGGTGCTCGTTTGAATACAAAGAACACACTTTTGGCCTGATCCAAGCCAAGGAGGAGATCCTGGAAGTGATGAGAGTAAACATAACTAAGGCTAACCAAAAGCTTAAAGCGGACCTGGCCACGACTCCAGACCAACTGCAGAAAGAACAAATCACTGAAGCCTGGTTGGACCCGAACCGCAAGATGGCAGACCTGAAGGATAACGGGGTCCTAGTATGGAAGAACTGGGAAGCCCGAGAAAAACAGTGGCGGCTCTGGCCTCTTCACAACCTTTTCACGCCTCTACCGGGTCAGACCAAGGAAGCATTCGAGGAAGACAGATCGGCACCATCAAAACACCCTTTCCCTACAATCCACCCCTCCCCCACCCCCCCAGTCCCAAAAAATTCTCGGCGGATTTGGGCTGTACTCAGCAAGCGCAGTACAGCTTCCGACTCAGATCTGAAAAACAA